TCCAAGAGTCTCCAAATCTATAGCAGGACTAAAGCTGCAGCACATCAGCAACCAGCTGGGAGAGGCTGATCAGGCTGGGATGCTGTAGGAGGTTTGCTTTAGCGGGGAAAGGACCTGCCTCTTAAATTGCAAATGGTAACCTTAAACTGGAACGGAGATGCTGTACATTACAAAAGAAACACAAATGTTTAAAGCCATTTCCCAAACAAGGTAAGTTGCAAATTCTTGAAGGCTTTACCGTARTCTTTTGCTTCCTTCCTCCGTATGAGCATTGGAACCTCATTTTCCGAGCAGATGATGGTGGCCAGCGGCAGGGCCGTGTACGGAACGCCGCACACACAGTCGTACTCCAGACCTGCATCCTGGGCTGCTTTGAAGAGCAGTCCTGCAACCTGGAAAGGAAAACCAAGCGCTTTGTAAGAATCAGGCTGGCGCGAACATGACTAAACCAATGAAAAGCTCTCTGCTTGACACGACCCGAGAGCCGACCCTGCGGGTCCCGGTCCCGGAGAGCCCCGGCGGCCTCCCCTGAGCCCTGAGGGCCCCAAGGGCAGGGACACACGTGGAGCCCGGCCCGGCCCGAGCATTTCCCGGGGCTCCCCGGCCCGCACCTGCCGGAGGAGGCGCGGATGGGACACGAGGCTGCGCAGGTCGATGTACACGGGGGAATCGCGGCCGCTCTTGAGCACGAAATGCCCGAAGCGCAGCGCGCCCGCCCCGCTCAGCGCCGCCGCCACAGCTGCCACAGACCCCGCCGCCATCACCGCGCCCGGCGCACCGAGATGATGCGGAGCGGGAGGAGCGCGGGGCGGGGACACCGTGTGACACACAGGGAGCCGTGTGGGGTGTGCCGCATCCCCAGCTGCCCGTCCCGGGATCCGTGTGGACTGTCCCGCATCCCCAGCTGCCCGTCCCGGGATCCGTGTGGGCTGGCCCGGGATCCGTGTGGGCCGTACCGCATCCCCAGCTGCCCGTCCCGGGATCCGTGTGGGCTGTCCCGCATCCCCAGCTGCCCGTCCCGGGATCCCTGTGGGTCCCGCATCCCCAGCTGCCCGTCCCGGGATCCGTGTGGGTCCCGCATCCCCAGCTGCCCGTCCCGGGATCCGTGTGGGCTGTCCCGCATCCCCAGCTGCCCGTCCCGGGATCCGTGTGGGCCGTCCCGGGATCCGTGTGGGTCCCGCACCCCAGCTGCCCGTCCCGGGATCCGTGTGGGCCGTCCCGGGATCCGTGTGGGCTGTCCCGCATCCCCAGCTGCCCATCCCGGGATCCGTGTGGGCTGTCCCGCATCCCCAGCTGCCC